AGCCACGTGCCGAACGTTGCCGACCCCTGCGTTAGGCGCTGAGAGGGACGGGGAGGTGCTGATTGGCGGGGCCTGCTGGTGGGCAGGAGGTGCTGGAGGGAAGGAGGGAGAGGTCTGGTAGGGGGGCTCCTCCTCACCTCACCTCCCCCCGCCCGCCTGCCTGCCTGCCACTCGCCTCCCTGTTCGCCTCTTTACCATGCTCGCCCGCACCACCTCACTTCCCTGCCCTCCTCCTCACGATTTTATCAAAGCGTGGGGCGCCCTGAAGCATGGGGCCTGGGGCGATCGCCTCGATTCATGGTACCCAAGGGACGGCTCTGACTCTGGAAGGCAAATGGAGCTGCATATGAAAATGGAACTCCCCAAATTATGATTTTTAGGAGGAAAAAGACTTAACTGACAGAGTTAAATCACAAGAATTCACCAACAAACTCCTGAGGAGAAGTTCCAAGGGGTGGGGGGGGGGACCAGGCAGGCCACTACCCACAAAAACAGAAGGAAAAGCAAATACCTTAGCTTCATTCTGGCTGAGGGCCTCTATGCCACGAAAAGCCATCATGCCTGCTAACGAGGCCTGTCCTTTCTCTACCCTGCTCCTGGCTACCACTGAGGTGTAGGTGTCCAGCAATGTCCAACATTTAAGACTTGACATTTACAAGCAAGGAACCTCTAGCCAAGCAGCAAGTCCATCAATGTTAATCAGCTGGGATGAGAAAACCACTGGCTAATCTTTTCAACCACGGACGAGCTGCCTGAGACGCCTCTCCTTCGGCATTCTCGCACTTGCTTTTTTCACTCTAGGTGGCGAGTGTGTGTGCACACGCATGTGCGAGAGCATGTGTGCAATGACTGCACAGAATTTATCTGAGAATGACACCTCTTGAATAGTTCCCTAAATATCTAAACGAGCCCTAGGTTAAACAACCTTACTGGCTGAAAGAATACATCCCTATGTATTTTATGGATTAGGAGTTGTATATTGAAACCATGCTATTTTTATCTACATTCTTGTTTGCTAGTTGAAATGAACAAGTTTTGACAGTCTAAAATTTACTGAATGCTTTATGTTGTGGGGCAGAGCTTAATTCCTAATCACTTGTAATTTGGGCAGGCTACCTTAATTGGCAACAGAGCTGTAGTCTCAACATTAACTTTAACCTGTGAGTGGTTTGAGCCATTGCTTAATTGGCTTGCTGCATCAGTTATGAAAGTAAAAAAATTCCTTGAGCCTTAAGTGAAAGATAAATACCCTCGAACTGTTAGCAGTATAGGGGCTATCATACGCAGCTGCACATTTCTGATTCCTTCCAGAGGAGAGCCAAAGGTTCACTAGCCTGTTTATTGTTAATATCCTAATAGCTAACATCCTCTCCCATGCGTTTTTCATTAAAAAAAATCCTTTGTAAGGGCCTGATCTTGAGAGATGCTGAGCACATACCCCGGACTAAGTGGCAGCAGCTCAGCTTGTCTCAGGATATGGCTCTAATTTTGGATGTGAATTTTATACCTCGCTGAAAACCTTTGGGCACATCAGTGCAGGCACAGAACTAAGTTTACACACGCTAATTGGCTGTTGGCAGAGATAGGCCAAGGAGGAGCTATTCCAATCTGGATTAGGGTTAGGCTATGGTTCACAGTTGGCGATTATATCAGAGTTAGGGTTTAGTTTAGGATCTGAGGTAGGGCTGTCGATTAATAGCAGTAAACGCATGCGATTAACTCAAAAAAATTAATCACGATTAATCACGCTGTTAAACAATAGAATACCAATTTAAATGTATTCAATATTTTTGGATGTTTTTCTACATTTTCAAATATATTGATTTCTATTACAACACAGAATACAAAGTATACAGTGCTTACTTTATATTATTTTTTATTTCAAATATTTGCACTGTAAAAATGATAAACAAAAGAAATAGTATTTTTCAGTTCACTCATACAAATACTGTAGTGCAATCTCTTTATCATGAAAATGTAACTTACAAATGTAAGATTTTTTTTGTTACATAACTGCCCTCAAAAGCAAAACAATGTAAAACTTCAGACCCTACAAGTCCACTTAGTCCTACTTCTTGTTCAGCCAATTGCTAAGACAAACAAGTTTGTTTACATTTACGGGAGATACTGCTGACTGCTTCTTATTTACAATGTCACCTGAAAGTGAAAGAGGCGTTTGCATGGCACTTTTGTAGCCGGCATTGGAAGTTACGTGCCAGATATGCCAAACATTTGTGTGCCCATTCATGCTTCAGCCACCATTTCAGAGGACATGCTTCCATGCTGATGGTGCTCGTTAAAAAAATAATGCATTAATTAAACTTGGGACTGAACTCCTTGGGGGAGAATTGTATGTCTCCTGTTCTGTTTTACCCACATTCTGCCATATATTTCATGTTACCCAGCACACATACGTTTTAAGAACACTTTCACAGCAGATTTGAAAAAACACAAAGACGGTACCAATGTGAGAGTTCTAAAGATAGCTACAGCATTCAACCCAAGGTTTAAGAATCTGAAGTGCCTTCCAAAATCTGAAAGGGACAAGGTGTGGAGCATGCTTTCAGAAGTCTTAAAAGAACAACACTCCGATGCGGAAAATACAGAACCTGAACCACCAAAAAAGAAAATTAACCTTCTGCTGGTGGCATCTGACTCAGATGATGAAAATGAACATGCGTTGGTCTGCACTGCTTTGGCTCATTATCAAGCAGAACCTCTCATTAGCATGGACGCATGTCTTCTGGAATAGTGGTTGAAGCATGAAGGGACATATGAATCTTTAGCGCATCTGGCACATAAATATCTTGCAACGCCCGCTACAATACTGCCATGCAAATGCCTGTTCTCACTTTCAGGTGACATTGTAAACAAAAAGCGGGCAGCATTATCTCCTGCAAATTGTAACCAAACTTGTTTGTCTGAGCGATTGGCTGAGCAAGGAATAGGACTAAGTGGACTTGTAGGCTCTAAAGTTTTACATTGTTTTATTTTTGAACGCAGTTTTTTTTTGATACATAATTCTATATTTGTAAGTTCAACTTACATGATAAAGATATTGCACTACAGTACTTGTATTAGATGAATTGAAAAATACTATTTCTTTTGGTTTTTACAGTGCAAATACTTGTAATCAAAAATAAATATAAAGTGAGCACTGTACACTTTGTATTCTGTGTTGTAATTGAAATCAATCTATTTGAAAATGTAGAAAACATCCAAAAATATTTAAATAAATGGTGTTCTATTATTATCTAACAGCGTGATTAATCACAATTAATTTTTTTAATCGTACAATTAATCGTGATTAATTTTTTAATTGCTTGACAGCCCTAACTTGATGGCTTCAGAACTTCCACCTCTGGGAGAAAAAGTCCTGCAAGATTTTGGCCAACTCAGAACTTTTTTTGTATCTGTCCAGAAGCCAACATGATTATGGCTGATTCAAATCCGAGTATTTGAATGTGATCCCATCCCACAAAACTCTGAGGGGTTCTGGTCCAAGATCCTATTTTTGGTCAGTGGCTAGCTGTGAGAAGCACTTGCTAATTTTGGAGGCACCTTAATGGAGCCACTGAACATTTGGGTTACAGCAGCCAGGATTTGGGGGTCGTTTGTGTGAGGAGAGGTATGAGATTTCTGGGCTGGGATAAGGGATTGGCTAAAATCCTATTCTTGTTGTTAAAATAAATATCATTTACGTTTTACCACAGGCTGTAAGAACAGCTGAAACATGCTTCTGATGCAGGGGTTATTCAAACACAGGTTCCTGTTAAAGCATTTAGCCATGAGTAGTGATATCTCTATACCTTTCCTTATCATGGATTTTTTGACAGATTTCCATGAAATTCTCTCCACTGCTATATTGTGCCAATTAGACCCCTGGATTAGACTGACTGCCCTTCCTTTTGTCCTACCCGCTTTTTATCCAATGAGTTGGTCATGTGGCTCTGGAAGTCTCTCCTACTCTTTCTTAAGTTTCCAGCGCTTCTTGGTTTCATTTTGGGACACATACCTTTATGGCACCATTCAGCTCCTTTTTTTAAAAAGAGGTTTTTTTTAAACCGTTTTAATTAATTTACCCTTTAGGAATCATTAAAAATAAGTGAATAAATATAGATTTCATGCCTTTCTAATTTTTAGAGGAAAATATGCATTTTTTTCCAGTTAGTTTCTAACCCTGGCCTTTTGTGGAAATATACATGGAAGCATATTAAAATGTAAATTAAAGCTATAATACCTATCAAAAGGAGCATGCATGTACATTTCTTTATCAAACTGGTGTAAAATTTAACATCTAATAAAGGAAAGAAATATACACTAAACATTATTGAGAAGATTTTGTTCATCTATTTTTTTGAATGCTATGCAATTCACTTAGACAAAGCTTTACTAAAATTAACAATCCTCTTATACAGCTTAAGCCAATTGATGCTAATTTACAATTAATATAAAAAATGATGAAGACATACATTGCTTTTATAAATGGAATAAAGGAAATTGGAATAAAGGTTAGGCATATAACTCCGTTAGGGTGTGTCCAGGCCCGCCAACAGCAATTCCGGGCCTCAGGGCAGAACAATCAATGGGCCTGCTGGGTGTGCTCTTCTGGCACCGCTAGGGCTTTCACATGTTCGCCGCTGCCAATACCACCCTGTCAGGGCCGGCTCTAGGCACCAGCAAAACAAGCTGGTGCTTGGGGCGGCACATTTTTAGGGGCGCCATGGCCGGCGCCAGAATGCCGCCCCTAAAAATGTGCCCCGGCTGCCCTAGCTCACCTCCGCTGCTGCCGCCGCTCGCGCACCGCTACTCGCCCTCCCTCCCAGGCTCTCAAGCCTGGGAGGGAGGGGGAGATCCCGAGCGGCCGCGGCGCGCGAAACAGCTGTTTCGCGCACCGCTGCTCCCCCTCCCTCCCAGGCTTGAGAGCCTGGGAGGGAGGGGGAGACTCCGAGTGGCCACGGCGCGGGCACCGCTTCTCCCCCTCCCTCCCTCCCTCCTAGGCTTGAGAGCCTGGGGGGAGGAGGCAGGGCTGGGGATTTGGGGAAGGGGCGGAGTTGAGGCGGGGCCGGGGGTGGGGTAATTAAAAAACAGGGGGGGGGGCGCGGCCAAAATTGTTTTTGCTTTGGGCGGCAAAAATCCTAGAGCCGGCCCTGCACCCCGTGCATGCCTAGGAGCCCTGCGGCCCACCTGGGCGATTTAAAAGGGCCCAGGGGCACCCGAGCCCTTTTAAATCGCCTGGGCCCCTGGGCAATTGCCCCCTTTGTCGTCGTCATCCCCTCTCCTCCCCTGTTGTCGGGCCTGGGTGTGTCTACCAGTTTTTAAAGACAAATGCTAAAGGAATTGTGTAGAAAAAGGAAGTTTGATTCCTGGTCCAGAAATGAAATAAATAAATAAGGTTAACTGTTAAATTTACATAGGTTTTGTAAAAATTTTGATAAAGAAATCTACATGCATGCTTCTTCAGATGGTGTTTTAACAATACCAGTATTATACAGTAATATGCTGCAATGTATAATTCCATAAAATGGGGTTAGAAAACCCTTCAGATTGGCTCAGGAAAACATGATTTAGTTTAAGATTCATATGATTCCACAAAAGGTCATGTGGTTGGTAACGACCTTCTGATTGGCTCAACCAATCAGCGTTCGTTAAAAGCTCCCAGAACCAGGCTTTCTGCCTTTTGACTTGTGATGATTGGTCTGGTAAGCTGCTTTTTTCTTTTCTCTGCCTTTTTTCTTTTATATATATATATTTTTTTAAGCTTTCTTGGACATCTCGAAAAGGGGGCTGCAGAACAACTGCGCACCACACACAGGTAATTAACTGTAAGTTTACATTTTCTCTCTCTGTTAATATTTTGTAGATTTTGTGCCATGATTTAATTTCTCTAGACTTGTGCTAACTGCACAATGTTTTTCTCTAAAAACGCTGAAAAGTTATGAAATAATATATTAACACTTCTCCTTTATTCTGTGTTAAGTCTTTTTGCATTTATTTAATTTACTTAGAATTGTACCAGTTGTTTTGTACAATTACTGAATTGACTTTATTTAGTACTGGCAGGAGCCCTGGAAATCTATCAAAAACATACAGTGAGGAAAAGTATAGAGTTATTACTTCTGCCATAATAAGCTTAGCGTTAAGAGAATAGTCACGCACCTTGGATTCTTTCTTCTTCTCTGCCTCTTTCCTGCTTACTTTCCGGGATGTTTTGGTTAATTCTTCAAAGAGAAAATAAAAGATAGCATGGAGTTAAGTGTGTATTTACTGTGAAGCATATGTGATTGTTTAATTTAGATATAGAACACTGTTTTTGTGCTGATGTCTTTACTGATAAGAAATAAAGTAGCTTCACTAACTTATCTTCTCGGAGCACAGTGTTTGTAAACTCAGGAAGCCCTTCTGTAGGAGCCATCCTTATATAAAAATAATGAGTCTGAGGCCATGTCTATACTACAAACTGTGATCGACGCAAGTTATATCAGCATACGGTGCTAGACAGTATATCGCTTGTGTGCATGCATATCTGGCCGGTTATGTCAGCGCAGCATGTACTCACCAAGTGTGTTTGTCAATGAATAATGTGGTGCACCATGGCTATGTATCCCAGTGTGCAACTCGCCATCGTTTGGTGCACTGTCTTTTGGGAAATTTTTGCAGTGCATGGTGGGAGAGAAACTAGGCATAAAAGGGTGATTGAGAGCTAGGGGTCAAGTCCCCATCATGCACTTTCTCCATCCCATAATGCCATCCATAGCCCATAATTTTTGCACCTTTTTTAAAAGTCCCACAAACCTGCATGACATTTTTGCTGGCAACCATTTCTGACTGAAGCTTGGATCCTGCACAGCTCTGCACTATTGTCATGAGCACTGCAAACACAGGGTGAATGAGCCCCCAGTACGTGCAGAGCCGCAAGAAGAGAACCACAGCGATGGGGAACATAACTGGGGAACATGATCATTTTGCGGAGGACAGATTGCTGTTCCAGGTTGTCAGTGGTGGTCATGGAGCAGCTGCAGGTGGTAGAGTGCCATGCCTGGGCCTGCGAAATGAGAACTGCCTGGTGGGATCGCATTGTAATGCAAGTTTGTGATGATGAGCAGTGACTGCAAGAATTTTTGGATGAGAAGGGCCACATTCCTGGATCTGTGTGTCAAGCTCGCCCCAGCCCTTCAGCACAAGGTCACCAGGATGAGAGCTACTCTGACCGCAGAGAATGGAATGGCAACACTGGATTGCTACTGGTCAGAAGGAAATCATTTTGGAGTTTGAAAATCCACAGTGGGGTCTGTTGTCATGCATGTCTGCAGGCCATTAAGCATCTCCTGCTACGCGGGATTGTGACTCTCAGTAATGTGCAGGACACAGAGCATGGATTTGCAGCAATGGGGTTCCCAAACAGCAGCAGTGTGATAGATGGCTTGCATGCACATCCCTATTTTGGCCTCAATCCACCTTGCCTGTCAACAGAAAGTTTGACTTTTCTATGGTTATGCAACCATTGTTGGATCACTGGGAAGCTTCCCCGATATCAGTGTGAGCTGGTCACGGAAGGTGCATGTCACTTGCATTTTTAAGAACATGGGACTGTTCAGAACAGTGCAAGCCGGGACATTCCTTCCAGACTGGCGGATTACCATTGGTGATGTTGAAATGCCCGTAGTGATTCTGGGCAGATGTAGCCTATCCCTTGCTCCCCAAGCTCATGAAGTCATACAGGGGCCAGCTCGACAGCACCGAGGAAACATTCAATGACAGTTGAATGTGCTTTCAGTAGCTTGAAGGGCCGCTGGTGGTGTTTACTGACAAGATTGGATCTCAGTGAGAAAATATCCCAATGGCTATAGCTGCCTGTTGTATCTTGCATAATATCTGTGAGGCAAAGGGGGAAAAGTTGCCTCCGGTGTGGAAGGCAGAGGTGGGGTGGCTGTCTGCTGACTTTGAACAGCCAGACACAAGGTCCATTAGAAGAGCTCAGTGTGAAGTTATGTGGCTTAGGGAAGAGCATTTTAAGAGTCAATCAACAGTAATGTGGTGTGGTGGATTGTATTCTACCTGGCTCTGAAGTCTGGGGGCCTCTCAGGAATTGTGTGATGCTTGGTGTACATTGATGAATATAACACTGTCTGTTAATGCAGCTATTAGTGTTGTGATACTTGCTGAACATTCATAATTATTACACTGTATGTCACTGGCCCTATGAGTTCTCTTGCCCTGTACAATAACTAATAGTTGCTTTCAGTACTGTTAGGCATTGTGCAGCATATGGGGTGTAGTAATGATGATGAATTAATTTCCAAAAAATAGAATTTTATCGAGTACCAAAAGCAATGCAAAAATATATGCAATTTAAAAGAAAATGTAATAAAAACTTCTCAAATAAAGTATTTATTTATTAATAAATAAGAACAGAACTTAACAAGGGAAAGAACATTCATGTCAATTTCAGTCCATTTATGCTATAGGCACAGCAACCATGGCTCTCACAGGCCATGTATGCCGGGCTGGCTCCAGGCACCAGCTTACCAAGCAGGTGCTTGGGGCGGCTACTTCGGAGAGGGGCGGCACGTCCAGCTGTTCGGCGGCAATTTGGCGGATGGTCCCTCACTCCTGCTCGGAGCGAAGGACCTCCCGCCGAATTGCTGCCGCAGATCGCGATCAGGGTTTTTTTTTTTTGTTTGTTTGGCTGCTTGGGGCGGCCAAAACCCTGGACCCGGCCCTGCATGTATGTGAAATTGTGATTGTCCTTATTGTTGCCCAGAGTGCAGTAGTAGGGGTACAGATGCAGCCATGAAGAATATTAGGGGGTGTAGGGAGATGCTATGGCAGAATTATTGGTTGACTGCAAAGGGAGGGGAGCCTGTGCTTACAGATCTTGCGGGTCAACAAAAGTCTGTAACATCTGTGTTTGCTGCTGGAGAAGCCCCATTATGTCCTGGTGCATCTCCTTCTCCTTTTCCTGCTGGGACTCCTGGGCCTTTCTCCTCTTTGCTCTTTCCTTCTCCATAGTGTCTGAAATATTCATCCTCCAGGCCCTCTGTTCATGGTCTGATGCAGCATTGGCTTGCAGGATCTCTGAGAACATATCTTGCCTGGGTCCTCTTCTTACTCCTCTGTATCATGGTCAGGCATTCCATGGGTGGGGAGGGGGGAATCCCTTGAGGCCACAATGGCAGCAGCTGCCAATAAAACACACAGAGGTATCATTGTGTTTATAGTCACAACAGAAAGCGAAAGTTACGTTTCAGAACTCCCATCTCTTGCTCCCCTAAAGTTTTAAACAAGACTTGCTTATTGACCCTTCAGCCTTGGAGCACAGCTGCACAGCCCAGCCATGGTATGTATGGCCCAGTAGGGCCATGGGGGGAATGAGGAAGGAATTGTTTGCCTGCATGAAATCTCAGTTTCTGTGGGTACAAGTGCAGGGCACTGGCACTGAGCACTGGCACCATTTCCCACAGGCAGTGTTGATTTTAGCTAGTATCTCTCTCCTGAGGGTAACATAGGCACAGAGAACACAGCTGCTGCTGGTGTCCCACCTGGGCCCATATGCCACTAGCCTGTGTTCTGCAATGGTGCCTGCTGAAGTCACCATGGACTGGTGTGGGAAAGTGTCCTACTGCCAAGGAAGAAATAAAGCTTCCCTCTTAGAAGCCTTCATGAGAGGATTGCAGAGTATCTCCTTGAAAGTTTCATTGAGGTCTCTTAGGAGGATTCAAGGGACATCCCTATGTACACAAACAAATTGCTCCACATCCCCCTCTCACCCCCCGGACTACTCCTACAGGGGAATGAAAAGCAGATATCAACTCTACTTCTGTCTGTTTTACCGCTACCTCTTCTAGTACAAGTAAATTAATGAAAAGTTGATACCTGTGTCCTGGTAAGCTGGAGTCAGGTGACATCTGTACATTTAAACATTGTAGCAGAAAATGCATTCACACATTTCCCCGAGATTCCTGCCCCTTCATTGGGCTTGCCCGTGCTTGGCTGCCAGGACTGGCTACTCTGAGGTGGAGCCTCGAACAGGTCCTGGCTTGTCGCATAGCCGGATCCTCCGTCACATGTCCACCACCCTCCTCTTCCTCCTCATTTTCCACAGCAGGGATCTGTGTCTTGGGCTCCTTGGAGGAATCCACAGTGCTCTGTGGGGTGGTGGCGGTGTCTCCATCAGGTGTGACATGCAGCTTGTTGTAAAAGCAGTTTTGGTTGGCTAGCTCCCAGTACCAAAAGGAAGGGGAAGGAGGAGGGAAGGGAAATCAGGACCCTGAGACTGACAGTCCCCAGGAACAATGGGGAGAGGCCAATGCTCCAGGTCAGCCTGATTGATAGGGTGGGCAGGCTAATCAGGGAGTCAAGAGGCCAAGGAGGGTCCCGTCCTCCATGTGAGCTGGAATTGTCTGGGTCAGACAGAGTGGGGCCAAGGTAAGGAGAAAGCAGGGGCCCAAGCTGAGCTGGGGAGCAGAGGCTAGAGCTGTGCCAGATCCAGAAGCAGGGGCGGTGAGTTATATGGGCCCGTGGTGCCCATGCTCCAGGAATATTCAGGACCCGGGAGCCCAGCTCCACCATTGTTTGGGACCGGGTCTCCCCCCAGCCACTGCCTGGGGCTAAGGCAGCTTCCTGCCCAACCTCGCTCCACGCCACTCCCAGAAGCGAGTGGCATGTCCCTGCGGCCCTGGTGGTGTGTGTCTCTGTGCGCTGCTCCCGGCCCGACTCCGCAGCTCCCATTGGCCAGGAACTGTGGCCAGTGGGAGCTGTGGGGGTGGTGCCTGGGGGCAGCGGCACGCGGAGACCCCCCAGCACCTCCCACCTAGGAGCCGCTGCCATAGAAGTGTGCAGGTCGCTTTTGGTAGCATTACCATATTTTAAAAAAACAAAAAGAGGACACTCCACGGGGCCCCAGCCCCGCCCCAACTCCGCCCCTTCCCCTAAATGCTCCGCCCCCTGCTCCTCCCCCTCCCCTGCTTCCTGTGAATCAAATGTTCGCGGGAAGCCTGAAACAGGCAGGCAGCAGGTAAGCTGGGGCTGGGGCTGGCGCTGGGGCAGTGGGGCGCGAGCAGGCACGGCCCAGTCCGGCCCCTCCGGCTGAGCGGATCTGGCCCCGGTGTGCCCGGCTCGGCTTGGGCCCTGGGGCACCGGCCCCGGTTCCGGCCGAGCAGTTCCAGCCCGCCCCGGCCCCGGCGACTCCAGCTCGGCTCGGGCCCTGGAGCACCGGCCC